CTGCCTGTCACCGGCCCTCCAGGACCGAGTTTGGGCACCCCTGCTTTAAAGGGATAGTGGTAGATTAGGCAGTGATTTAACCCTTTAAAAGCACTGTATGTTGAAGAGTGCTGTCCTTTTAAGAGCACATGTTGATTTTGTTGCTGTGTGCATGCATTCATTATAACGAGTATTGTGCATTTGTGTGCATAAAAATGAATTTAGCTAATTTCTTGAAAAAAGTACACCCTTAAGTCATAAAAATGGACAAATAAATAAACAATTTTAGCATGAAAAGCTAAATAAAACAATATAAAAACTGAAATATTTTATTGATTTACTGACCATTAACCCATATTAATTATTGAAATATTAACGTAAAATCTAAGAGGAGCTTTAAGAAAATATTTTAGGTTGAAGGGTTACGGCTGACAAAAAGTTTTGGAATCCCTGCTTTGTATTATAATGCCTAAAATTGACTTTCATTTAGTTTTTAGTGTGTGTTTTTTCTTTTCTTTCATTTTCTTTTCTGGTGTTAATTTATTTTCTTTTTAAACAAAGTATATATTTATCAGCTTATTGATATCATCTGATGTCAGTGGACTGTTAGTGAGATTTGTGGCTTATTTTCATAGAGATGATCTTAGAGATTAACTGGTTCAATTTGGAATAGAATACTAGTGAACTAACCTTACTAGTTAGTGGTTCAACGGATCACAAATCTCACGGTTCGGATCACATTACGGTTTTTGACCCATCTGATCATTTTTCGGATCAGCAAGAAAAGAAAAATATTTCAATGTAACTTGCTTTCCATTTATTACTTAAAGCGAAGTACTTCTTTGATACCACAGCAAATACTACTAGATTAACTAAGAAAGTTTAAACATGATTAAAGAGACGAGAACAGCCAGTAAAAATAAGAACAAATAGATAAATACAACAGAATATGTTACAAATAAAATAAGGTTGGTAGTATTCAAATACAGAAATGTAATAATTAGGGAAAATAACACTGCATAGTGTTCACTGTATAAATTAAATATAGATTTTTATCACAGCTGTTTTGTTGTTTTTATGATCACTAATGACAACAGCAGTATTTATAGGCCGCTGTCCCTTTAAGACCTGATGCACAGATCCGATATAATGATACACATCACATCCGATTTCTTTCGCAGCTGTTTTAATTCACTTGAGACATAACTGACTGCGTTTACCTGAATAATTGTCGAGATGGGTATTTGTCATAATTTTATGTGTATGTGTCTGTTCAGAGGATTCAGAAGAGGATTCAGTTCGGTGTTCGCGCGCCGTCTGAAACGCATGTGCGCGCTTCATGTGTGTGCAGCTGTGCGCGAAGAGAACAGCGCGCGAGCAACTAATCGAGTTCCCTTTCGCCTTTTCTCTCTGGAATTGTTTAAAATTCGCTTGCTTGTGTAAATACGAACAAATAATAAACTTATACTCTATTGTGGTTACATTTTGCAATTAATCCGCGGATCACATGTGTGCCGAACCGTGGGGCTTGGTCCGTATGGATCACGGATCAACTACGATCTGTTTAACCACTATTACTAGTGATATATATACAGTATATATATATATATATATATATATATATAACATTTTATCTCTAATCCCAAACAACATTAACAATATGGCTAATACTAATGATTTGCGGCATGTGTTCATATGGAACCCCGTTTCCACCACTTAATAAAAAATAAAAAATGTAATTGCGACTTATCTCACAATTCAGACTTTTTGCATGATATAAACTTGCAATTTAGAGTTTTTTCTCAAAATTGTGAGATATAAACTATTCCGTAAAACTATTCTAAACCATTAACAATTCTGACTTTTTCACGCAATTGCAAGTTTGTATTTCGCAATTCTGACTTTATTTCTCAGAATTGCAGGTTTATATCATGCAATTCTGACTTTGTAACTCACAATTGCGAGTTTCTATCGTGCAATTTTGAGAAAAAAAGTCAGAATTGTGAGATGAGTCGAAATTACCTTTTTTGTTTTTAATTCAGTGTTGTTTATACAGGTCTGTCAACTTCTGGTCATGTTTTTCATGTTAAAGTGCCCCTATTATGGGTTATGAAAGGTTCATATTTTGGTTTTGGGAGTCCCCAACAACAGGTTGACATGCATGCAAGGTAAAAAAGTATGTATTTATTTTATTTTATTTTATTTTATTTTATTTTGTATAATATGTATTTATTTTTATCTTACTTGCTCAAGGACTTCCAAATGATTCGCTCAACAATTAATTTTTCCAAACTAATCTGCGGTGATTGGCCCGATTGGTCTCATTTTAAAGTCATCATGCCTGTAATGCCTGATAAAGCAGCGTTTGTGAGCGCAGTGCTGCTTTGTGTACAGCCGTTACCGGGGAAACTGCTATTTTACCGCTCCAAAAGTGGCACCTAGTGGCAAAGAATGAATTTCCATTTTCATTCAGACCAACGCGAAAAGAACAACAAGTGGGTGGGCAATATGACTCGTTTCAGTGATTCAGAGTCGACTCTTTCTTTTGAGAGACAATAACTTTATACACGGTGCACTTTTAGATTTTAGACTTTGCAGGATGTTTTCATTCACTTAGAGCTGTGTTACACACTGCATGAAAGGTAATTTTTAAAAAATCCATAATAGGGGCACTTTAATAATTTAGCATGTTGCATTTCACAAGACATTGTCTAATTATAAGGATATTCTTGTTTACTTTTGACTGATAAACAACTCTAGTGCTTTGGTGGGACATCCAATGTAAAATCTGCTGTTTTACATTGAGAACCAGTTGAGAACTCCTGTATTGTGTGTTGTGTTTGCAGGCGGACTCAGAGGTGCTTCAATCGTGGATTCTCTGGACACGCTGTACATCATGGGTCTGATGGAGGAGTATGAGGAAGCCAAGGAATGGGTCCAAAACAACCTGGACCTGAACTCGGTGAGCAAACACGGTTGGGTTGTTTCTCTGTGGATCAGCAGCTCTGAATTAGCTGTGAATCTCATGCTGTCTGAAGCACTTGTGTAAAAGCCCTCTATTGATCCCCGGAGCTGCACCGGAATCAATTGTTTCTTTTAACCAACGTCCAGTCCTGGGAATTGAGACCGTTTTGGTCCAGATCAAACACTCGTGAGTGGATGAAAGGCCTCCGTTGTTATATATATATATATATATATATATATAACATTTTATCTCTAATCCCAAACAACATTAACAATATGGCTAATACTAATGATTTGCGGCATGTGTTCATATGGAACCCCGTTTCCACCACTTAATAAAAAATAAAAAATGTAATTGCGACTTATCTCACAATTCAGACTTTTTGCATGATATAAACTTGCAATTTAGAGTTTTTTCTCAAAATTGTGAGATATAAACTATTCCGTAAAACTATTCTAAACCATTAACAATTCTGACTTTTTCACGCAATTGCAAGTTTGTATTTCGCAATTCTGACTTTATTTCTCAGAATTGCAGGTTTATATCATGCAATTCTGACTTTGTAACTCACAATTGCGAGTTTCTATCGTGCAATTTTGAGAAAAAAAGTCAGAATTGTGAGATGAGTCGAAATTACCTTTTTTGTTTTTAATTCAGTATACAGGATACAGGTCTGTCAACTTCTGGTCATGTTTTTCATGTTAAAGTGCCCCTATTATGGGTTATTCATATTTTCATGCATGCAAGGTAAAAAAGTATGTATTTATTTTATTTTATTTTATTTTATTTTATTTTGTATAATATGTATTTATTTTTATCTTACTTGCTCAAGGACTTCCAAATGATTCGCTCAACAATTAATTTTTCCAAACTAATCTGCGGTGATTGGCCCGATTGGTCTCATTTTAAAGTCATCATGCCTGTAATGCCTGATAAAGCAGCGTTTGTGAGCGCAGTGCTGCTTTGTGTACAGCCGTTACCGGGGAAACTGCTATTTTACCGCTCCAAAAGTGGCACCTAGTGGCAAAGAATGAATTTCCATTTTCATTCAGACCAACGCGAAAAGATCAACAAGTGGGCGTGCAAAATGCTAATGTTTCATGTTGACGTCAACATGAAACGGCTTGGGATTCGTTTTAAAAATGACTCATTTCAATGATTCAGAGTCGACTCTTTCTTTTGAGAGACAATAACTTTATACACGGTGCACTTTTAGATTTTAGACTTTGCAGGATGTTTTCATTCACTTAGAGCTGTGTTACACACTGCATGAAAGGTAATTTTTAAAAAATCCATAATAGGGGCACTTTAATAATTTAGCATGTTGCATTTCACAAGACATTGTCTAATTATAAGGATATTCTTGTTTACTTTTGACTGATAAACAACTCTAGTGCTTTGGTGGGACATCCAATGTAAAATCTGCTGTTTTACATTGAGAACCAGTTGAGAACTCCTGTATTGTGTGTTGTGTTTGCAGGCGGACTCAGAGGTGCTTCAATCGTGGATTCTCTGGACACGCTGTACATCATGGGTCTGATGGAGGAGTATGAGGAAGCCAAGGAATGGGTCCAAAACAACCTGGACCTGAACTCGGTGAGCAAACACGGTTGGGTTGTTTCTCTGTGGATCAGCAGCTCTGAATTAGCTGTGAATCTCATGCTGTCTGAAGCACTTGTGTAAAAGCCCTCTATTGATCCCCGGAGCTGCACCGGAATCAATTGTTTCTTTTAACCAACGTCCAGTCCTGGGAATTGAGACCGTTTTGGTCCAGATCAAACACTCGTGAGTGGATGAAAGGCCTCCGTTGTGGCTTTGTGTTGACTGGACTAGATCTTTCAGAGCATGTTCAGGACTTAATGAATGGGCTGGAGAGAAACATTTTGTGATATTACGAATCATCCTGTGATATTAGAGAGAGCGTTCACTCACTGATGGACAGCTCTGAGGGCAAACTGAGAATTGCAATGTAAAGATAAACTACATTAGATTTAATTCGATTATAACTAGAGCCTTTGCAAAAGTTACCATCATGATGCCAGGATGTTGTCTTTAGTTGCTAGGATGTTGCTAAATGGTTGATTAGAATATCTGAATGGTTGCTAGGTTACTAGGATGTTGTAGGTAGTGACTAGGCCGTTGCTTAGGTGTTCTGAATGGTTGCTAGGGCATTGCTAGGATACAAGGATGTTGTGGGTAGTTGCTAGGCTGTTGCTTAGGTGTTCTGAATGGTTGCTAGGGCGTTGCTAAGATACAGGGATGTTGTGGGTAGTAGCTAGGCTGTTGCGCTTAGGTGTTCTGAATGGTTGCTAGGATATTGTGGGTAGTTGCAATGTCATTGCTTATGTGTTCTTGGTGGTTGCTAGGATACAAGGATGTTGTGGGTAGTTGCTAGACTGTTGCTTGGGTGTTCTGAATGGTTGCTTAGATGTTGCTAGGATACTAGGATGTTGTGGGTAGTTGCTATGCCATTGCTTATGTGTTCTTAATGCTTGCTAGAATACAAGGATATAGTGGGTATTTGCTAGGTTCTTGCTTAGATGTTCTGAATGGTTGCTAGGGCATTGGTTGGATACAGAGATGTTGTGGGTAGTTGCTAGGCTGTTGCTTGGGTGTTCTGAATGGTTGCTAGGGTGTTGTTAGGATACTAGGATATTGTGGTAGTTGCTAGGCTGTTGCTTAGATGTTCTGAATGGTTGCTAGGGTGTTTCTAATATACTAGAATATTGTGGTTAGTTGTTTGGTTGTTGGCAAGGTTTGCTTAAAGGTCCCCTGAAATGCTTAGAAACACGCAGCGTTACTCTGTGTTGACGTCATTTTAACTGAAACAGGAAGACAGGGCGGGACATATCAAGCAGCCCCACCCCTTTTTAAAATAGCCAATAGCGTTCGTTTATATCACAGCTTGGGCTAGAGCCGTTCAGAGCCGTTGAGCTCCGTAAAGCCGCATTTGACAGGGTATGCCAGCCACAATCTCATCCATATTGCTATAAAATATAGCATTCTGTGTAGAATTCAAATAGTTCCGATACATTTTGTGGTCTGCGCCGACTCGCGCATGTGATCCGCTCCGTGCTATCGTGTCTCTGGACCGGAGCAGAGTGTGTGTGCGGTGCGGTGGTTAGCGTGACACAGCGTGAAACTACGCTTCTTTTTTTCCTCAATGGAAAGAATATTTACACTGTTTGAATCGTTCCCTGTCCCCTATATAGTGCACTACGTGCCATTCACTGTACAGAAAAAGTGACCAATTTCAGCCGCGGCTTCAGCGTCTATTTTATAGTGCGCTTTGGATTCTAGAGAGCATTTGATTGGACAGAAAGTTTTATGAGAAGCTGAAGTACGATGTGACGTTGAGCCGTTTTGGCGGAAGTGACGAACTGCAAGCTTTGAATGCTTATATCTTCTAAATGCGAATTTTGTTACTGTTTTGGAGCACACTGCCTTATAGATAACCTTAAGACTAACATATTGATACTAACACCCAAAAAAACTAAATTTTGATTTCATGGGGACTTTAAGTGTTCTGAATGGTTGCTAGGGTGTTGCTAGGATGCACAGATGTTGTGGGCAGTTGCTAGGCTGTTGCTAAGTGGTTTCTTAGAGGTTCTGAATGGTTGCTAGGATAATAGGATGTTGTGGTAGTTGCTAGGTTGTTGCTAAATGGTTGCTTAGAGGTTCTGAATGGTTGCTAGGGTGTTGCTAAGTGGTTGCTTAGGTGTTCTGAATGGTGGTTGCTAGGGCGTTGCTATGTGGTTGCTAAATGAAGCTTACTTGCAAATATAAAATAAACCCTAAAGTTCATATCAGTCAGTTCATAATATTTGTTAATGAAATGATTTTATTTTCAGTGAGTGGTTAAAATAAAGCTGGAATAGTTGGCTACATTATAAAAATAGAAATAGGCCGTTGACATTGGGCGCTCGCTGTGTGTCAGAGAGGCTGATCTAGTTCAGTCGTAGCATTTGCACTTTTCTACTTTGATGACGAGAAGTTTGAATTTCATCACTCTTGATATTGAGATTTGTGACAGTGTAAAATGGCTTGTTAAACCTGTCATCGCTCTTATTGCATTCTGATGCAAGGCGGCAAACTGCTCGGATCTTTCCTGAAGCTTTTTTGGCAGTTCATTAAAGGCACCAGTGCTGTTTTGAATGCCGTGTCGGTGGTGCGTGTGAACGATGCCTTCTGATTGGTCTTTTCTGAGTGTCTGTGAAAGTAAGTGTTCTTCTACCACAGCCCAAAAAAGACATAAAACATATACAATATAGATATTTCATTTAATTTAATTTCATGTTCATTCCTATAATTTACCCTATAATGGCTTTAGATTGTAGCTAAACATGAAGCAGCTTATAATATCTTGCCTATTTTGTAGTTGTGTTAAGCTAATGAAATGTAACCTATTGAATTTCTTTGAATTGCAATTCAGAACTCTCTCTCTCTCTCTCTCTCTCTCTCTCTCTCTCTCTCGTGTGATGAGCTCAGAGAGTCCCGTGGCATAGCAGTAAAGCGTCTTAAGGTGTTTGATGGCGAGTTTGTCATGAAGACACAGTGTAGATTTACTCTGCACACTTTGTCATTGTGAGATCCAGCTTCATCCGTCACTCCCACAGCTTTCAATCAATCTCCTGCCGCAGTCTTCGCTCTTTAGCTGACAATTTGCTCACTGATGGAGAGCAGAGCACTTCAGTGTGCGACCGTCATGCTCTATGACTGGGAAACCATGCCAGAGAGTCTCTAATCGCAGCAGAAGATGGCACTCGATGTGTCTGTATCAGTGAGGAAGAGACTTATAGTCAACAAATCAAAAGTGTAGAGCCGGGTCAATCAGTCGCTGGGCACTGGACCTTAACTGTGACCGTTTGACGAACAGGTTAACTGAACAGGTGTTAGTGTCAGTTCAAAGTTTAATGACACTTACGCCAATAGATGATAAACTATTTCTGTTTTCAGGGTTTTTTAGTGAATTCTGACAGAATATTGTGCACATTTAT